TTCCCCCCCCCCCCCCGCCTTGACAAGCCCCTGCCCTCCCTTACCCCCCCAGTGTCTTATGTCCATTAGTTGTGGTTATATGGATGCATACAAGTCCTTCGGTTGATCTCTTACTCCCCTCCCTCCTGTCCCCCAACCCTCCCTGGCCTTCCCACTGCAGTCCGACAATCAGTTTGAGGCAGCTCTGCCACTGTATTTATTATTGCCGAACAACCTTTTAAAGAGGTCTGGGATGTGGTAGCCAAGCCTATGCATAGAATAAGGACCTTGAAAAGGCTACACTCCGAGAGAGAAGACTAAAAACCACCAAGATCAAAGCCACAGCTACCTGTTCAAAAACTTCTGGATGATTTTCTTGACCACGTGGGCTTCTGGGTCCAGACAGACTTTGTTCCCCTTCTTCATGATGGCTCTGCAGGAAAAAAAAAAAGGAGGGGCGGGGGGAAAGGATGCGTCCATGAGCCACAGGAGCTGAAGACCCAGGCCAAGGTCACAGTGGACACCGGGGACACCGCAGTGCAGTAGGACTTACATAATTTCCACATTGGGGCACCCTGGGCCTGCGGGGACCATCTCCAGGTGACGGATCATTTGGGGACGAATCCTGTGCGTGGGGTTTAAACACACACAGCGCAGCTCGGTCACTATGGCCCCGGAGGGACCAGCTGGGGCTGAAAGAGAGACACCGTTATGAGAAAGGTTGCAGGAAAAACAACTCCCGCCAGCATGGCCCGGGACACTTCCCCGCGCTCCCCCTGCTGAAGCAGCCGCTGCAGAGGCTGGGGCTCCTCGCTCTGCCCGGCGCGTCCCTGGCTGCGAGCACTCACCGCTGGCCAGGGGCCCTGGCAGCGTCAGCAGCATCAGCAGCGCCAGCAGCGCGCACAGCGATCCAGACCGGCCCGGGAGGCTGGCGGCTTGGCGCGGCAGGAGATTCATAGCGGCGTGGAAGCAGCGGCGAGAGGCACGGATTCTGGAAGGAGGAGATGCCGGGATTTGAAACTCCAGCGCACTGTGGTCCCAAGCCAGCGCATCCCTTATATTGGCATTCGCCCCTTCCTCCAGGCAGGAAACTCAAGCTTTGGGATGCTTGGGGAAATTCCCTGGGCTGAGGCGGGGGGTGGGGGGGGGGGAGTGGGGGGGTGGGGGGGAGTGGGGGGGGTGGGCGGGGGGAGGGGCGGTGTAGGAGGTTTGGGGGAGGAAATGGGCAGTGAGAGTGGGCAGGAGGGTAACTGAGAGGAGTTGCTTGCACCCCATGCGTGGAGCATGCGGTAACTTGGGCCCTGCAGGAGAGGAGCAATCCAGCGGAGATTTCATCTTTGGGGTCAGCCAGGGCTGGCAAAGACCAGCTTCTGGGGAGCAGAGCCCCCTAGGAGGTGCACCTCATTACCAACTATGAGGAGACTGGACCAAAGTAGCAGGAGGTTTGACTTTAGAAAAAATTATCATCATCCTTAACTCTATGTATTATCAAGAATGTAGGCGTGATCAGACTGCGCGACACGAAAGCCTACTCTTCTCCTTGCAGCGGACATTCTAGGTTCTCAAATGAGTTTATTTCTTTGGACTTCAGCCAGCTTTAGAAGGCAAGATATATGGTGAAAGTGTCTGTACTTCCACTTTTACTCAGTGGCAGGAATAGGCTGGCAAATCAAGTCTGCTTACTGGAAATCTTATACTTGTAGTTTATAGCAAGCATATTGCCCTGCCAGATGATACCTTGCTTTCTGCAGTTCCGTCAGTAGTACACTGTTGAATTGGAAGAGGTATGTTCTTCAACCAGGGTAGGGTGAGGTGCCTGCAGGTGACAGCATGGCCAGGGAGACCCAGCCTGCTATAGCTGTGGCTCCTCAGCCAGGTGTGTACATTGACCCAGGAGCTGAAGACCCAGGCCACTGACCAAGTTTGGAGAAGCTGTGGGAGGCTGCTGGGTTTGAGGGGATCATCATGAAGTTTGGTCTAGAGATTTGAATCAATTTGGCAGCAAGACAGCACCCACTCTGGCTTCGCTCAAACAAGTTCATATAAGGGAAGGGTGACTCACACACACAAACTTCTGGAACCATCTGACTTAATGATCAGTAGAGTGACCATGGCCGTTTCAGCAGGCCTGCTCTGGTCTAGAGTGGGTCCCTAAATTTGAGGGGTAACTAACATGCAGATTTCTCTGCCTCGCCTTACTGTCTCTGTTATCTGTGGAAGTAGATAGAACACTGGAGGTTTATTGTTTTTTATTTTTTTTTAAATATATTTTTTATTGATTTTTTTACAGAGAGGAAGGGAGAGAGATAGAGAGTTAGAAACATCGATGAGAGAGAAACATCGATCAGCTGCCTCCTGCACACCCCCCACTGGGGATGTGCCCGCAACCAAGGTACATGCCCTTGACCTGAATCGAACCTGGGACCCTTCAGTCCGCAGGCCGACGCTCCATCCACTGAGCCAAACCGGTTTCGGCGAACACTGGAGGTTTAAAGGCCAAATCTTTTACAGTTCTAAGTCCATGGCATGCATAGCTATGATATTAGAACAGCACGCTGGCTTTCTTTCATGAAAGTCATACTAGATATGCTCTCTTGGATTGTTCCCAAGACCCTTGTCCTCACAGTACTTCAGCAAAGGCAACCAGTGAATATAATGGCAATCGGAAACCAGTCATGGAACAAAATTCTTTTCCTTGTCCCATGTGACCCTGGGGAATTGTATTAAACTCTTCTACTCATCTTCCTTGGCAGGACACCACCTCCATTGCTGGTCAAGGAGGAGGTGTCATAGATCTTTAGAGCATTAAGTCTGGAAGGAAACTTAAGAAATTCTCTAGTCAAGGAAGGCTGAGAGGTTTGGTCTCACTTTATGGGAAGCTAAACGGAAGATCTCTCTCCTGAGTAGCTTCCGATACGATAGGCATCACATCTGACTCAGCTAATGCAATCCTTCATCCTTCTGGGGAGTGGTAATCTGGAAAAACAGCCTACAGGTTTATTACGTTGACTTTTTAGAGATTAGGATGTATCTACAGACAATAGTTAAACCTCACTAATGTGGATAAGACAAGACTTCAAAAATGTGACTAAGAATCATGGATGATTAAATTCAACATAACCATAGGAAATGAACCACACTATAATAAGACTTTGTGAGGCAAAAAAAAAAAGTTTGGTGACATAGATTATTGAATTTTTATGTGTGTGAGTGTGTGTTTAGGTGAGTTCCAAATAACCTATTTTAAATATAAGTGAACATATGAATTAGTTTTGGCACTAAATGTTAAGATCACAGAAGGGTCATGAGATGTTATTTCCGGTTCCTCTTGACACCATGCTTCACCTCATTGCCACTCTGCACAAACTTAACATGCATTGTTTGCAGAATATAAAGAAAGCATTTTTTTTTACAGCTGGCAAGCAGGTAATAGAAAATCCCCACTAGAAGTGGGATGTTGGATTGCCCAACCTAATCAGGAAGCTCTCTGTAACTTAACCTGGGTTCTCATGGGAATCATTCTGGCCCATGGCCCATGTCTGGCTCTTGTCTAGGCATCTCTGATGTGGGTCCTGTGCAAAGACAGATAGGATTGTGAATACTCTAAGAGTCCCTGCAGTTGAGAATGACAGCACCAAGTACCATTAGGAGGCAGAGCTATTTAAAGGGAAGCCAGTCGCCTTATCTGCACTGTGTCCAGGTAATAAAGCATGGCACAGTGATATTTTTGTACCAAGCTATAATAAAACAATCCATAAAATGACACTGATATCTGGGGAAGCTGGAGTGAATTACTGTTTGTCAAAAGCAATGAAATTTTAGTCATAACACTACAGAGTAATGTAATATGAATTAAAACATTCTTAATGGTTTGCAGCTTCCAAAACATTTCATGCTCTTTTGCTTTTAAGTCTCATATTGATTCTTTTCGGAAGATAAGAAAAATTCTCCCATCCTCATTTTGCATCTAGGGAAAGGAGGGCCGGAGAAAGAGTTAAGAAGTAGAAAAACCCAGGATTGGAAGTCAAGCCACAAGAGAATCTGCCACAATAAATTTTTAATGGTTTCCAGATTACAAACCACTTTCTTCACAGTCACTGGCAAACAACCCACGGCTCTACACATCTGGTTAACCACTTTACTTGTATTGCCCAACTATCATATTTTAAGCTGTTGAAATCCTCAGTCTCTCTACTCCTGGCCTTTGAGGCCAAAGTGATGTCAAAAGTCCAAGAGCCTTTCAGGTTAGCCAGCCTGCAACTGTTACTTACTTTTTAAATCCCTCTCTTCCAGATTAGTGCAAAGTTCTGTCTTCTCTGCAAAGGTTTATCTGACAAAGCCAGTTGAAATATACTGCTTCTACCTTTGATCTTTGAAGATGAATGTACTTGCAATAACTATCTAATGAAGCAGAGTTTAATTGTTACTTAATTTTGCTTTTGTTTCCCTTGAGCTAACTATAAACTCTTTAGAGTCAGCGGTGGTATCTTATATTTCTCACATAAACTCCGATGAATTTCAAGTTCAATAGCAAGCAGTCTATGAACAGTTGATGACAGATAATGATAACATTTTATCTTGTAGTGTTCTTTAAATTACAAGTGAGTCTTAAAGTTAAGGAGGAAAGAATGGGACTGTATTCTGTTCATTGGTTTTCTCCTATGTTGGAAATTGTTTCCTGGTTATTCTTAGGGCCAGTTCAAATTATATTTTCAGTCCTTAAATCTGAAACTATTAAAAAATATTCAGAAACCAGTATAATATTTAATATTAAAAATTACACAACTAAAGTATCAACCAAATTACATATTTTCTGGGACTTAGAGATTAGTGAAAATAAATGATCAGGGAAAATTCTGATTAAGGTATACTGTGCTGAATGTTATCAGTGTGGAAATGTTATTCTAAATTTGTTTCTTCTAACAAATCAGAGAGGTCTTTACTTATGTGTTCACTACATGATCTCAGCCTTTTGAAATATTTTTCTAAGTTTCTACTTTCCTTTATGTCTATTACTTTTTATAGTACCTTTAAGAAATGCTATATGATTGCAGTAATTAAAGATGTAGATATATCATTATCAGAATATCAGTATAAGAGTTTATCCATAAGAGTTTAAGTGGAGGATAGAATTACTTGCTTGCACAAGAAATGGAAAAAGCCATTTGTTTACTTTTGGGTTAATTTTCTGATATCAATGCAGTCTGTTTCCTTTCACATTGGGCTTGCATTCTAATGAAGAGGCAACATTATTAGGTAATAATTTTGCTTCAAAATTGCCCAGATTTACTGTGAAATGTCAGGAACGTATTCCCTCCTATTGTCCATTATCTTTTTTCCCTGCCAATTTCAGAATAAGTCTTTTTGAAAAGGAAGTAAATGGATGAATCTTGATTGAGTTCAAACTGAGGTAGGCTTCAAGTAACCAGGAGATAGCTAGGTATATCTTATTCAGCTGAGCAAGCTTGCAGAAGGGTTTTGTTGACAAGAGATGACACATAGAAAAAAAAAAGATGAGGATTAAAGTTTTAAATGTTTCAGAAAGCCTTGGATTTCTCAGAAATAGGAAGTATTCATTGCTTTCTTCAGAAATTTTGTCTGGGCTAAGCAAAAATAAATATTTGGGCTATTCTTATTTTTGAACTACAGTTTACATTCAATATTATTCTGTACTAATTTCAGATGTACAGCATAGTGGTTATACAATCATTTACTTTACAGAGTGATCCCCCTGATATTTCAAATACTCCCTCCTTAGTTATTACAGTATTATTGACTATATTTCCTGCTCTGTAATTAATATCTCTGTAACTATTCTTAAATAGCATTTTTGAGAAGTCCTTGGTATGATACTGCAGAGGTCCTTTATGGAAATTATACTTTTAATACTATGTTTAATAATGGTCATTTACTATACTGCTTTTGACACCATTAAACTTTTATACCATTTTTTTAAAGAATAATATCCACTTCTGCATGAACTCACAATAGCTTTATTCTCATTTAACATATATTAGAA